GGGGGGGGGGGGGGGGGGGGGGGGGGGGGGGGGGGGGGGGGGGGGGGGGGGGGGGGGGGGGGGGGGGGGGGGGGGGGGTCGTGAGTCGTACACATGAAAGCGAACCACAGTACGGGTAGCCCAGGAAGAAGCCACATCTGGTATTCTGGTGTGCGGGTCCACAAGTAGTGTCAAGGGCGGCCGTGAGTCGTGCACATGAAACGGAACACGGTACGGGGGGCCCAGGATAAGCCACGATCTGGTCCTCGTTGCGCGGAACAAGGCGTTCGCCCGTGACTTATGATTGACGTGAGGGAGCACCTCAACAGGCTTCAGGCGTATTGCAAACTTCACCGCTTGAAAAATCTGTCCGCCAACTCGCAGACAGGCCGCACACACACACACCGCGCAAGTGGGGCAGGTAGGAGCACGTGTGGCGGGAAAAAACAAGCTTCCCGGAACATACCGAGCGCCCAAACATGGGAAAGTCGTGGGTCCGACACAAGAAGGTGGTGTGACGAAGGCCCTCGACCCTCATTCTTCGAACGTACCGTGAATGATACAAGATAACACACCCCCTGTACCAATTTTCAGATCTCGATTTCTCAACAGCAGTCACAGCGCCGAAAACGGTGGCGTTGAAGCTGTCTCGTCGAGAGCTTTCCCCCAAATGTATCGTTTCGTTTATGCATCCTTTCCGTCGCGGCGCAATCAAGCCTTCAAACTTGGTCTACGGTGTGTTCTCTTGTGTCATACACGGTATACAACAGCGGATCCCCTTTTCCACCGGAATGGGAGGGTACCCAACCATACCATGGTGGATCGAGTCTTGTGACAACAGATTTCGCCCCACGTATGCATGCCACGACTGGAGGATGTGCTACCGTACGGCAAAAACGCAGAAACCAATCCTTCCCACCCTTGATGGCCATGGAGAACAGGTAAATGTCTTCGAGGGACTTGATCTTGTTCTCCTTCACCAGGCGGCCGAGCTTGGTGATGGGCACCCACTCCTTGTCGTCATCGCGCGGGCGCCCGCGCCCACGGCCGCGTCCGCGTCCGCGGTCACCGCGGCCCCTCCCGAAGCCGCCGCGGCCTGGTGACGGTTTTCGATTTCATGCGGCGGTGGCGTGGATACGGTTAGAGCTGTTGAGGCAAGGGGGGGTAGGATAGCGGGCTCATCTGAGTGTGTATGAAGGGGGGGAAGCGTACGCTCGGG